CTGCTGCTGCTGCTGCTGCTGCTGCTGCTGCTGCTGCTGCTGCTGCTGTTGCTGCTGGTGTTGGTGGTGCAGCACTAGGATCTCCAAACGTTACGTTCTTCCCGCCTTTAAGGGTTAGCAAACTTCCTTCCCCACATTCCTTAAAGAGCCTGCCCCCTGCCCTGCCCGTCCCTGTTCTCAAGTGGTGGTTTTCTGAGTTCCTAAGCCTCCCTTTCGAAAGTGAAGATGCCTGCAAAGACTGGAGGAGGAGGCTTCGGGAGAGAAGCTACTCAGCAGATCCTGGCCGGAGGTTCAGCGGGTAAGGCCGACCTGGGCAATCTTGACGAGTGTCTCAGAGATCCCATTTACGCTTCTCGGAGCAAAGCTTCGTCCCTGGCTGCGCTCCAGGGATTCTGCGCACGCTCATTGCCTCCTAATGCCTACAGCGGAAATTTTTCTGGTTTGGGGGACGGCTGGTTCCCCGTGTGCTAGGGGGAGCACAAGATTTCACGTCTGTGGCAGATGAAAGCCTTGTTGCTAGCGTTATCTTTTTCTAGTGACCTGGGAAAGAAAGGGAAGTGTCAGAAAAACGTGTATTCCAACGTGCATTCACTGTATTGATTCAGTAGTCTCTTCTTGCTTACTACAGACTTTTGACTTTGATTTATCTAGGCAGCAAGTGTTTCTCTGCAAAACGAATAGTGCTTGCAATTCTTTGAGCAGAAACACCACAGATTTTACAGTAATTTTGCTATAGTCAGGATATGCTTAGAGACACTCTGAATTGATTGGCATAAACTAAAACATAAAACTATTTCACATTTTTTCTTGGTAATGATATGCTTAAATTGTGGCCTGATAGATTTTTATTAACCTGGAAAATTTTAATATAATGTATGGGATGATGAAAAGTTAATGTTTGATTGTATGAAATATTTTAAATAAAAATGTTTACAGTGGGAGTAATAATAACAACTCCAGCTAGGTCTGGAGTCAGGAAAACTGGTCTTCCTGAGTTCAAATCTGGCCTCAGACACTTACTAATTGTGTGACCTTGGGCAAATCACTTAACCCTATTTGTCTGTTTCCTTATCTATAAAAATGAGCTAGAGAAGGAAATGGCAAACCACTCTAGTATCTTTGCCAAGAAAATCCCGAATGGGGTCACCACTGAACAACAGCAATAATAACAATACCATCTTTCAGTGTACTTAACTCAATGTTATATGAAGATTTTTTTTATATAGATACCCACTTAAGCCAACTGATTAGAAGATATATAGGTATATGTATATATAATATAAATCTTATATTTTATACACTCATATAGTTTGAATTAGTAAAAGGCTACTACCTTATCAAATGTTAATTGCAGTGCTCTAGTATAAATATATGCTTATTAATCAGTTAGTAAACACTTATTAAACATCTACTATGTACCAGGCAGCACTGTGCTAATTTATTGTTTCTGTGTTAAGCTATGGGGAAAGAAAGAAAGGTAAGACAGTCTCTGCCCTGGAAAACTTCAGAATCCAATGGGGAACACAACATACAAATAACTATATACAAATGAGCTATATCACAGGATAAATAAGAAATGATCAACAGAGGGAAGGTACTAGAATTAAGAGGGATTGGGAAAAGCTTCCCGTAGAAGGTGGAATTTTAACTGGGACTTGAAAGAAGCCAAGGAAGCCCAGAGATGGAGATGAGGAGGGGATGGACTTCCCAGCATACAGAACAGCAGGAGAAAATGTCCAGAATTGGGAGATAGTGTCTTGTTTGAGGAGCATCAAAGCAGTCAGTCGGTGTCACTGATTTGTAGAACACTGCAGGAAGGGCAGGGGATGAGGTAAGAAAACTGAAAAGCTGTGTATGTGGGAGGAGGCTGGGTTACAAAGGGCTTTCAGTGCCAAATAGAGGATTTTATATTTGATTTTGGAGGTGATAGGGAGCCAAGGGCGTTTATTGAGTGGAGGGGAGGGTGAATTGGTCAAACTTATGCTTTAGGAAAATCACTTTGATGACTGAGTAGAGAATAGACTGGACTGAGATTTATCATAAGTAACCACAACTAGGGATTTGCCTTTCTTGGGTACCCCTTGTTCCAGAGCCCATTGGTATGGTACTCTCTTCTTATTGCTGTATACAAATGCTGTGCCCTCAGTGAGGGGCAGGGTGGCATTGGAAAGAGGTGAGAGAGCTTCAGTCTTAGCTAGCACTGCTTTGAGGATTCATCATTTGAGTGCTCCTAGTTTCCACTTCAGGTTGCTGGAGGAAAAGACTCTAGGAAGGTATGACAGAAGCTGGCAGTCTCCATCATATCCCTATTTCCATCTTGCTACTCTAGAGACTTTGGGTGAAGACTTTCCGCTTGGGTGAAATGAAGGAAACTTTCTCTTAGTTGAGCTACCTTGTGGGAGACCTCCTTCGCTCGATATTGTCTAATATATGTTCTATGTATACTTTTTCTGATTTCTGTTTTGCTACATTTTGTATAAATGGATTTCTTTGCTATTCTCTATGTGTGTTCATTGTGGAATTGGTTTTAGGTGGGAAAAGGGGCAAGCCTTGGATTTAAAGCTTGGTGGTCCTTCTTCCCTCAAAATGACAAAATGGTCAAAACCCAATCATGTCCTCTAGAATAGATGAATAGTATTTAAGGGAGAAAATAGACTTCTAGACTGGTACCCCCTTCTCTGAGGCAAGCAGAGTGGTGGCTGGCCCTTGGCCCCAACCTTCTACCTTCCCTTCCTGGCAAGAGAAAAGGTGGCAAGAGAGAAGGGACTAGCGATGTCTATTCAGCCTTCCTTTGAGCCACACATTAAGGACCTGTCACACTACTCCCTAAGACCCTCACTACTCACGTGGGGCCCATACCCCCTTCTAGTCTTTCACACTCTATTTGCAAGCTGTTTATTTCTTTTCCAGTTGATTTTTTTTTATTAACATGTTGTTTGAATACACTGCTGAGGACAACATGGAAATACACCATCCAATTTAGATTTTTAAAGGACAGTTACACAAGTTAGCTAGTAACATGATCCTATTAGAATAGTGTCAGGAATACTAAAGTTCAGAATGAACTGAGGCTGATGAGGACAATGAAAGATCTGTAAAATTATATTGGGGAAAATAGGAGGATTAAAAAAGGGATAGGGGCAATGTTCAGAGAGAATGGGAGGATAATAACTGACAATAGAGAAAAACCAGAGCTGCTTAGTTCTTTTTTTTTATCCATTTTTTCTGGCAAGAAAAATGACCCTTGAATTGTAAAGCACAGGAAAAATAGCTAAGAGGGTGTTGATAATGAAAGATTAAAAAAAAAAAGGAGATAATACAAGAGCACCTACCATCCCTTGATGAGTTCAAATCCCCTGACCCAGTTAAACTACAGTGATTTGTGAAACACTGTGAGAGATTTTTAAAAGATGGAGGATGGCAGTTATAGAACAGAGTTAGATAAGGACAACTGTCATTCCAAATTTGAAACAAATAAACAAAACAAAAAGAGAGAATAGAATAGAATATGTGGATAATAGTCTAGTGACTGTAACTATAATTTCTGGCAAAATTCTAAAAAGTTTTATTAAAAGGGATGGTTAGTCAATATCTAGTAGAAAAGAGTGTGGTGATCACAAAGATCACATGGCTTCATCTAGAACAAGTCATACCAAACTTCTTCCTTCTTTCCTTGAAATGCTGTAGATTTACCTAATTTAGTTAGATTTCTAGCAAAGCAGTTGATCAAATATTTACTATTATTCTTGTGAAAAGGATATTTATACATATATGTTTGTGTGTTTATATTTACAAATATATGTATATATAATCCTTTTGCTAAACAATGGTATAATTAGATGGATTCCAGACTGAACAACTGGACTCAAAGAATAGTAATTGTGTAATGGTATCTTTCTAACATATATTTCTAACATAGAGCCCCCAGGAGTCCGTAGGTGGTCCTATGCTGTTTAGTATTTTCATCAGTGGGACTTGCTTGAGCTCTCCCTCAAACCCCTCCAAATACCTGTAAAAAAAAGGGCTCTAAACAAATATTTTCATCAGTTTCATGGATCAAACATAGATGCCTTAGTTATACAAATTTCAGATGACGTAAACACAATTAATGACAGAACTGAGATGCAAAATGGTCTTGATCTGCCAGAAAGCTGGTCTGAATCTACTAAGAAGAAATTTAGTAGAGCTGTATGTCAAACTTTACATTTGGTGTCATGCTAATCAATTTTGGAAGTAAGAAATAGGGGAGGCAAGGTTAGACAGTAGTTTATATATAAAAGATCTGGAGGTTTTTGTGAATTGTCATCTCAATAGGAGCCAAGAAAGTGAATGTAAACTTAAGCTGCAGTAAGAGAAGCATAGGCTCCAGAAATAAGAAGGTGATAGGCCTACTATACTGTGCCCTAATTACACCTTAGCTGGGCTATCGTATTAATGTCTGTATACCACAGTATAGGAAGAATATTGATAAGCTGGAGAGCATACAGAATAGGGCAGTTGGGGTAGTGAAGGAATTCATGAGTTCATACTATAAGAGAACTGGTTGTAGAAACTAAGGATTTCTGGCCCAAAGAGGAAAAGATAGGGAGATATGACATCTATCTTCAAGTACTTAAAGATTGTCACATGAAAGAGGGATTAAACTTGTTCAACATAGCTCCAGAATGCAGAGTTAGGAGCAATGATTGGAGTTGCAAAGAGGCAAATTTAGGCTTAATACTCAGAAAAGCTTTCTAACAACTAGAGCTATCCAAAAATGGAATAGTCTGCTTCAGGAGATAACAAATTCTCACTCACTGGAAGTCTTAAAACAAAGACTAATGAACACTTTATGGCTATGCTGTAGAGGGGACTCTTTTAGGTATGGGTTGTACTAGATGGCCACAGAATCAATCAATCAACAAACATTTATTAAATGACTACTATGTGTCAGATACAGTGCTAGACACTGTGGATGAAAAGACATAAATGAAACTCTCCCTACCCTCGAGGCACTTATATTCTGTAGGGGCATTATAGAATTATAGCTCTAGAAATGGAAAGGACCTTAGTCCAACCCCTTCATATTTAAAAAGGAGGAAACCTGGGGAAGTTAAATAGCTTGCCCAAGGTCACACAGATTGCAAATGTAAGAAGTAGAATTTTTCAGAATGAGGAAGTCCTGCCCTATCCAGAGGAGGCATTTGATAGCTCCATTTCATAAAATAATAATTTGTTTAAACATTAATCTAGTTTTATAGTCCTCTATCCATCTCCTCTGGAGTTTAAATTCAGGTTTCTTTGGTTCTACTTTTCTCT